TAGAATTGAATTTAGAAAAAGCCATTTATTGGTATCAAAAAGCTGCAGAAGATGGAAATGTTAATGCAATGTATAATTTAGCAATATGTTATAAAATTGGAAAAGGAATAGAATTGAATTTAGAAAAAGCTATTTATTGGTATCAAAAAGCTGCAGAAGATGGAAATGTTAATGCAATGTATAATCTAGCATTATGTTATAAAAATGGAGAAGGAATAGAATTGGATTTAGAAAAAGTTATTTATTGGTATCAAAAAGCTGCAAAAGATGGAAATGTTAATGCAATGAATAATTTAGCATTATGTTATAAAAATGGAGAAGGAATAGAATTAAATTTAGAAAAAGCCATTTATTGGAATCAAAAAGCTGCAAAAAATGGATTACCTAAAGCAATGTATAATTTAGCATTATGTTATAAAAATGGAGAAAGAATAGAATTGTATTTAGAAAAAGCCATTTATTGGTATCAAAAAGTTGCAGAAAATAAAGATAAAATAAATAAACAAGAATTTAGTTATCAAAATAATATTATTAATAAAATTTCATTAGTAAAAGGATTTTTTATTGAATCAGAAAATGAAAATTATAATATGTGTAATAATTGCTTTAAAAGAAGAAGATCTTTATGAAATAATAATAGAATTTGTGTAATTTGTTATCAATCTGAATTATTATATAAACCAAGTGGTAATATAATTGTTGATGAATTTATTAAAAATACACAAATTAATTTTATTCAAGAATCTAGTAGAATGAAATTTTTTTCTTATAATCAATTTCAAAAGATAGAAATTATTGGTGAAGGGGGATTTAGTAAAGTTTATAAAGCTATTTGGAATAAAGGTCCACCTTATTGGAATGAAGAAAAAGAAGGTTTTGAATATAATGATTCTAATTTTATAGTTGCTTTAAAGCAACTTAATAATTCAAAAAATATTACTTTAAAGGAATTAAATGAGGCATGATATTTAATTATTATATTCTTTAAGATTAATAAATTTTATACTAATGTATATTTATTTTTTTTAAATTTAGCTTATGATGATTTATTATGCTGAATTGAATGAAAGTTTCTTTGAATCTTTATTTTATATAAATAGATATTATGGAATTACTCAAAATTCAGATACAGAAGATTTTGTAATTATTATGAAATTTTATAAATATGATTTATATTATTATATAAGAACAAACTTTTATAATCTTGATTGGAATACAAAATTAAATATTTTGCAGTTAATAAATTTAGAACTTGAATTTATTCATAAACAAGAGATTATTCATCGAGATTTTCATAGTGGAAATATTCTTATCGAAAATGAATCTGATATTGTAATAAGTGATTTAGGAATTAGTAAATTATCAACTGATTTATCAGATGATGAAAATAACTATTATGGAATCATGCCTTATATTGCTCCAGAGATATTTCAAGAAAAAAAATATACAAAAGCTTCAGATATATATAGTTTCAGTATAATTATGTGGGAATTAATGAATGGTAAAAGACCTTTTGAAGATCAAGCCTATGATACAGACCTTATGATTCGAATTATTGATGGTGCTTGTCCTCCAATAGTTACAAATGCACCTGAAGGTTATATTGAATTAATGCAACAATGTTGGGATTCTGATCCAAATAAAAGGCCAAATCATGTTCATATTCATAAGTTTGTTGATAAAATGATTTTTAATGAAAAAAATGAGCCAACTAATATTATAATATCACCAGATATTGAACCTAAAATAATGAACAGTACTATACATGGTAAATAGCTACACTATTTATAATAACTTATTAATGACGAATTTATTAATTATTTATTATGTTTAGGTGCAAATATTAAATTATCTATTTTAATAGCAATGATTATAATGAATCTGTTAATTATGGTTAGTATAAGCATAGCATAGCATAGTAAATAATAATATCCGATCAATTCACTAATTAATTAATAATTTCTAATTCATAGAATATACTTCCAAAACTAAAGATTTTGATATTTAATAATCGAAATCAAATTTTTTACTTAATACATTATGAAATATTTCTATCATAGGTTCCATCTGCTGAAATCACTAAATATCTCTTGTATGTGACAGGTTTCTTAATGCAAAGTATCACATAAGAGCATTAGATGCTTGTTATTTATCATTTATTGAGCAATAACCTTCTGTTTTTATTCAATAGTTCTGTATCGTCAAATCATCTTTCATTCATTGATTTGATTATCTTAATATTATAGAATTTTTGTAATTTAAAACTTTATTTAATAATTATAAGAAAAATTTGTTTAGTTGAATTTAAAAAAAACTATATTATAAACCGATAAAAAAGTTTGAATAATGATGATAGTATTCATTCAGAATGAAACTTTAATCATTCCCTTGCTAATGACAGAATACATCCGGATTCTGTGTCAATAATAATTAATAATTAATAAACATTAAAAGGCTTTGTTATTTACTGTATATTGTGGATTTCAAATAATAAAGTTTAAAGCTTTTTCAGATTGTTCTTAGTTTATTTTACGAATGATGCGAAGACTAAGTTTAATAACCGATTTTAATTAAAACCGGTTTTCGAATCTGATAAAAATAGACCCGGTTTTATGTTGCAACCGGTTTAAACCGAATTTAAATCGATTTACACCAAACCGGTTCCAACCTCTAGCTGAAGGATTTTGGAATCGACTAACATTATTATTGATTTATAATCTCTCAAATTTACAAGAACTTTCATTATCTTCACATGAAAATAATGTATTGGAAGTTCTTCAAGAACTCATCCTTTCCCAATTCTAATTTTAAGATTTGATAAAGGTTGTCCAGATTAAAGTTGTACAGACGAAAAATTACCTAATCAAATTCTTGGAAAACAATGGAAAGAGTTTAAAAGAATTTTTTCTTAGCGAAAATATTGAATATATGGGCTGTTTGCTATTAAAATTGAGTTACGAGACATAGTAAATCATATGATCCGTAACTCAATTTTAATAGTGTTACATTTAATAATTATAATATGTATTACTTGTATCGAAAGACATATTGATTTATTAAATAAACATTTATTATTAGTTTTTTTTATTTTATTAGTTTATTAGAATTTATTATTATTTTACATTTTATTTTTAGCATTTATTATTAGCGTTTCTATATATGTATTGTTTATTATTTTTATTACTATTATTAATTATAAGAAAATCGGCTAACAAAATTTAAGTTAGCGCAATGAAGATCACTGGCTATTAATGATCGTTGGACATTATTGTTCACTGGCCATTAATGTTCGTTGGACATTACTGTTCACTGGCCATTAATGTTCGTTGGACATTATTGTTCACTGGCCATAATTGTCCTGCTAAAAATTTAGTATATAAGTGGCGGAATTTCCTTTAATAAAAA